AAATCCATAATCTCCAAATCTGTAAATTTATAAACACCAACATAATGCCTCAAATGTTTCAGATTTTAAAAGATTTCAGATTTCAATTTGGAATTAGGAATGGTCAATCATACAAAGTCTGTAAATATATTCCACATTTTGAAAACATCTGAAATCTGAAACACTCTGTTCCCATACATTTCAAATAAGGGATACTCAACCTGTTATTAAAAGTTACCTTCAATAAATTGATTATTGTAAATAAACTGAGACTTTGAATGCATTGAAAATAGTAACAATGGTGATGGGTGATTATAAGGAGAGTAAAATATTGGCAGTCATGAATAATTAAATAGCCACAAAAGGTCAAGTTTTCTTTGTAGATTAATATTTGCATCGTTACAATGTCAAATTTTTAAAATAATTTCAGATGGTACTTTGCTCCTTCACATCTGTGATAGTCAAATGTATTTCACACTTTTATAACTGACTTTTTCACTGTACATTAATCCAGTGACAATCTGTGGTTTGTGAGATGGTCCATTTCCACACTAAATATTCCTAGAGTGCTATGGAGATTTTGTGGATATCTATACATGTGCCTGAAACAATTTTATAGTTCCTTAGGATTTATTCCATTCTAAAATGCTGTTAACTCCATCAATTTCCTGTCCTTTGGATCCACATGAACAATATAGTAAAGTTCTAGGAAAAACAAATCTGAATACTTGAGACATTATACATAAGAGAATGAATTGTGCAACAAGCACAATTCAACAGGATTTATTTAGTTTCCTTTGTGCCTTTCAACACCATTTCTAATAAATGAGGTTTTTGATCATCTAAAATTTAACCTTGCATTGGTTTATGATTGATACTCAAATTTACAGTATAATCTAGATCAATTATTTTAGATTTATTTCAAATCACTATTACGTATGTATCATTTCTTTCATTCCAAAAATGATGAGTGTGAAGCCCATGTGGTTTTGAGACTCTAAGTTTTGTCCATCTTTAAGATAACAGCTAGTGCCAAAACTCCAAGTTTAAAAGGTAAATTGAACTGAATAAAAATGATAATGACAACATAATATTTGTGGGAAGTGGCTAGGTCAAGATTGAGAGGGAAATACCAAAAAATACATAGTTTGGAGAAGAAACATCTGACACAAAGAAGCTAAAGTCCTACCCAAGAGACACAAAATAAAAGCAAAACAAACACCAAGCAAGAAGAATGAGAGAAATAATAAAAGAATGGAAATCAGTAATAAGAAAACAAAATAGTTACAAAGAAAATCAATGAAAAAAAAGAAAATCAATGAAAAAATCTGATTGTTCTGAAAAAATAAATGAAATTGGCAAACCCCCACAAGACTGAAAAATAAAAAAAGAATGAAGTCACAATTACTAATATTAGAAATAAAGGTAAAATATCACTACAGTCATACAGGCAATAAAAACAAAATAAGAAAATATACGAGCAACTTTATATACATAGGTTTAACAAATTACCTGAAATAGACTCATTAGTCACATAGTGTTACTCACAACCCCGCCAGCATTTGTTATTGGTTGATTTCATGATAGCAGCCATTCTTTGTGGGGTGAGGTGGAATCTCAGTGTTGTTTTCATCTGCATCTCTCGAATGACCAGTGATGTTGAACCAATTAACATATATATATAAATAGAAATAGGAAGATTTTATTGTTATGGACTATTGTGTTAAAACTTGATAATACAGTATCTTGATCTCCCAAAGGACAGTGCTCTATTAGTAGGCAACAGTGTTGAGGAGACTCAAGATATAACTAAATACACTTTCGGATCACCTAATATTCTCTGATTTGTGAGGTGAACAGTTGAAATAATTCATGAATGTTGCTTATTTCTTTCTCTATAAATCACTTGGGGGACAAGAGGAAAGAACCAGATGTGCAAAAGAGAAAGGAGGCAGAGTGGCAGGACAAATACAGGGATAAACAATTGGTAAGATCAGAGAGGTCCCAACTGAGAACTTACTTTTATGCTTCCTGCTGCTTGCAGTGACTAAGTTAAAACTTTGCTTTAAAAGCCCATGTAAACCAGGCATGGTGCAGACCTGTATAATCCCAGAAATCCAGGAGGTTGAAGTAGGAAGATTACAAGTTAAGTGCAGTCTGGGAAATTTAGTAAGACTCCTTCTCTAAATGAAAAAATTTTTAAAGGCTAGTAATGTAGCTCAATGTGAAGGTTTTGTGGTCAGTATCCAGTAACACACACACACACACACGGTAATTTGTTTGGCCCTGTTTCATTGTCTTGCTTAAGAGTAGCAAAGGAAACAATAGCACATGGAGGTGTGCTCGCTGGAATGTGCAACAGTCCATGCCTGAGTGTTTAAACAACGTTAGATAAGTGCTGCTTCTGAGATTTTCAGCAGTCAGTTTCTGCTGACTCTTGGAACTCTTTTCTGCATCAACAATTTGTGTTTGATTTGGAACTTGTTCTAAATATTCACGCCCCGCACAAAGAATGAAAGCCAGACTTGTAGAGAATAAGGAAAGGCATTCCAGACACCTTGACCAGCCTGGTGTGATGCCATTCCTATCCAAGGAGAGCAGTGTTTCATTATGCTCTGAGCTATAGAATAAAGATTACTGACCACACAAGGTTTCATTAATAGTGTCCCCTAATTACAGTGCATTTACTCTGATGGACTTTTCTAATTTCTTGTTTTTATTTTTTTGGCACTAGGGATTGAACCCAAGGCCTTCTCAGTAAGCTACATCCTCAACCTATTTATTTATTTATTGATTGATTGATTGATTGATTGATTTAGATTTATTTAGATTTTTGTTCCAGATTTCACCAAGTTTCTAAATTGTCTGAGTCGGGCTTGAGATTTTGATCCTTCTGTCTCAACCTCACAGAGTCCTGAGAGTATAGACCTGTGCCATAGCTACAAATGATGGTCTCGTTGGTTTTACAATTATTTTAAGAAATAAAGAATTCATTCCTTGCAGACAAGAATTAAGGAAATTGTCCATGACTTCAAAGAACTTTACATTGCTTTGATGGGCAGTTTCGTAAAAGCAGTTTGCCTATCTGTGTTATAAGGATAAAAATCACTATTTAATTATCTATTCCTATCTGAGTCCTCCACTGTTTGAGCTAGTGTATGGTGTAAATATTTGAATGTGAACTGGATAAATGTTAATTAGAGATTTAAGTGATTATTTTGTAAGAATTCCTGTCTGGTACTTTAATATTCAATAAGTTTCTACTATCTGTTAGGGTTTTTCACAAATATTAATCCACAAAGTTGTTACTATGTATTATTTATCAGCATTTTGCAGATTTAGAAACAGGGGCTCACAGGGCTTAAGTAATTTGGCAAACATGTTAAATTGTGAATATTTGAATCATTGATGTATTCATTGACTTCAGTTTCAATATCCTTTGCAAGCTCAACTTCTCTTTAATAAATCTTATAATGGATATGAATCAAACAGTAATTAATTTTAACAGATTGCCTTTGTCCTCTTCAATAAAAGGATAAATGTTTGGGATATTTTAAATGAGATTTCCTGCATGCATAATGCACATACTCACTTCCTTTTTGCAGTGGTAGATGATTTCTATATATGCATAGACATTGCAATATAAATTCTAGAACACAGCATTTTCCCATACAAGTGTTTGTACTGGTGAAGAGTAATATAACAGTGGGCTTACAAATGAAAAGCAATAGAATTTATGGTGTTAATATGATTAGCATATCTTATATTTCAAGTTTTCAGAAATTTCAGTACACATATACTCTTATTTGTATAAATAAAACTGTAATGTTGATTAGAAATACGATTTAATGACAAGTTATAAAAATAAAATAAATGTTATAAAAATTGATGAAATTGCTTCACACATTGTAAAGAGGTAGAAAATTTATATTTCTGAATGTTATTTGTGTACACTTATGAGTTTTAATAAATATATACTGATCTCCACCAAAAGACTAATCTTTATAAATAAATAATACTTAATATTTCTTAATTTATAGTATGACAGTCTTGCTCTTTCAAGTATTTTTTTTCATTTACTAGAAGTAAATATTTGGCTGCAAAAAATAAATATCTATCCTAAATGCAGGAGGAGAAGGCTGGTGTTTCACATTACTATGGGATGGGTTGGGGCAAGTGCAAGAAGACATTAGTTATAGATTTAAAAAAAAGTGGAACGGGGTATAAATCATAGGTTTCACCCCTCAGTGTTATGTAGAGATGATGACATTAAAAGAGATCATTTATTGATTAGCTAAAAAAAATTATGGAATCTGTCCAAAAGTGACTCTTTGTGCCTTTGTAAATTTTTAAAGCTCCACAAACTATGACTGCATTATTGTTTCCATTGTAGAAAGATAAATAGAACTGATTTTGAAAATTGGTAACTCTGTTACCATTATTACATAGGTATGTAATTCATTCCTTGTCCAAACATGCAATTACTATTTGCATTTCCATCTCAGATATCATTTGAATCATTCATGTGCTGGGACATAGCAACCTCAAATCTCAGCTTTCAAATCGTAAATATTGTGACTTGGTGGTGGGAGACATAGGTCAAGGCTGAAAGTACTTATCATTGACATTGACCATCACGTAACCAAAAATTTGCTATTTCTTAGACAGCAAGAATATACAATGTGAAAATGACAAGTGTAAAAATGACTGTTCCAAAATATGTCCCAAAATGTCATTGAAAATAATTTTTCAGAGTTTAGTTTATCACAACATGCTCCTTTTTGTTTTTGACAAATATTTTAAAATTTGAATCAAAATGATAAAACATTTTATTAATTACAAGATTTAGGGTCTCTATACTGTCAAATAATCTCTCTCTCTCTCTCTCTCTCCCCACACCCCTCTCCCTCTCTCCCTCCCTCCCTCCCTCTTTCTGCCAACAAAATCAAAACTCTGACAATTCTGGTATGTAAATCTAGTATTAGGAAACACTAACCACTCTTAAAAATCCTGTCTTTCAGGAAAGAACGGTGACCATCAGAAGACAAACTGTAGGAGGATTTGGATTAAGCATAAAGGTAGCCTGCCTTTCTACTTTCTAATCTGTCCTTGTAATGGACAAGCCATAAAGCCTGAACTTTTGTGTATTTTAAAGCTTGCTGATTAATAATTATGAAAATGGTATAGGAAAAACCTTAATATTTAGAATGGGAGGTAAATTAGGTAGGGTATCACAGAACCTTGGTCATACAGTAGCTTTTGATTTAAACATTTTTAAAAAAGATTTTGGAATTTTACTTTTCCTGACATTTAATATCTTATTAATTTTCTTTAGGTGGTTTGTTCTAAAATACTGAATATGATGCTACATGAACATATCTTTCTTTAACCCTCCAGAGTAGGAAATGCTGACTTGCAGACCTTTGCTTATGTAGAATAAAAATCATTTATATGACTCAGATAAATGTTTCAGTGAATTTTAACACAAAAAGTTTTTATGCTTTGGAAAGCTGAACTCTACATTTTATGAATATCATCTTTAGTCAACTTGTGAAAATGACCAAGAAGAGAGGTCAATGTGCAAAAGCATTGTACTGCTTGTGATGAGAATATTATTATATAAAACATGAGTTCTAAAATGTATTTTGCATTTGCTTTACCTGTCAACAGCTGAAACCATGAAGGCACATAGAACAAATTACAGGTTGTAAAAAGTACACCATGAGAATTCTATTGTTCAATAGACAAGCTTTTTTGGCCTTGATTTTTTTTTTTCTGCCAAGATGGTTATTGAGATTACCATTAAAATTTTAGAGCCATAGCATTAAATATACTAGAAAGTCCATGAACAATTTCGTTTGCCTAATGCATTTTTCCTATCCTGGCATGGATTCTATTTCAGTAATGGAGCTATATTAATTTTATGTCCATGAAAAATGCTTTTCTTCCTTTTCTTTTTGAATCTATTTATAATTTAAACCCAATAGCACAATGCTATTTACTTTTACTTAAATTCCACATTTTAGCTTATTGTTTAAAGCATTAGGAATTTTGCTAAATTAATCTTTTCAGTATATTATTTTCATCATTTCAATTCAAATATATAATATGATAATTTTCTCAAAAAAGTGTATATTTACCATTCAAAATTGTGGTCATGAAAATAATATTTGAACTATGTTTTTGCCCTTTATTAGAGTGTTTGACCAAAAAGAAATTATTGTAAAATTCTTATTACACACACAAACACACACACACACACACACACATTAACCAGCAAAGAACATTAATTTTTACTTAGAATATTATACATTCATCTCAGAAGAATTGCTTTTATGGTTTGCTTAATACTGACTTTTGAATTTTTCTTTTTTGTTTTTGAAATTCTTTTTTATTCTGGTTATGTTTATCAAAATAATATTATTCATTGCAAGTAACAATATTATTATACAAATCCCTTTTCTTTATCTTACTAGAATTACATAAACTACTCTGTCTATTAGCATTATCTTCTTTAGAGCTGAGAATTTTAAAACATATATATGTAACGAATACTTTTTATAAAACCATTTCGGGCTAGAAGAAGAATTAATATTGTAACGCTACATTGTTTATTGCTACCAGGAGAAATTTAGAGTCAATAACATAATTGTGCATATTAATATACAAACATTTTATTTTTATTTGTTTCAGTTAAATAATCACTTCTAGCATACTCTAGAGGTTTTATAGTAAAAACTACTAATTAAAACCTTTAATATCTCAACGAATGATAGCAGAAAGACGGTGGTAGTTCAGCCGATGACAAAGGCATTTACCAATAGAGTGAAGATTCGTACAGGTCTAAGGTGAATTTCAATTGACTTAGAACACACGGTAACTCAGTTTTGCCTTCCAAAAGAACCATTTGTTAAAAATTTGGCTGAAGGTGAAGAGAATATGCTTTGGGTAAGGAACATTAAAATAATCTCACATGCTCTCTTAGTCCAAGCCAGGTCACTATGCTCATGACGATCTCGGTTCCTGGCCCTTGCCCCACACAGCCTGCACCCTGCCTGGGAGAAATCCTCACTTCTCCCGTCTTGCAGTCAGTGCTGCCAAATTTGGTGGGTAACAATGCGAAGAGGATTCTGGTGTGGGTTTTTTCATAGTGCTTGATTTATGAACATGCTTCAGTGAGTATAGGTAATAGGCAACATTCTCTTGCTGTGGCTATCAATGTCCGAAAATCCTTGATGCTCATTTCCCTTGATGCTGGGCCCTGCTGAGCCCTCTCTTCAACCCCACCCTTTGCAGGAATGTATGTTGGTGATGAAATAAATCAGCTTTTACCCTTATTTTCTTCACCTTTTATAAGACAATGTTGAACTTCTGAGAGAAAAATGTGCAGGTGGCTTAGACATTGAGGCAGCAGCGTGTCTCTACAATTAAATATAGAACTTTGACCTCTTCCTTTGAAGGGCTAATGATGGAATATGATGTAGAAATCATTAGAGAAGCTTCTCATCTCAGGATTTCCTAAAACGCCAAATAATAAGAGGAAAAATAGATTTAGGGATGAAAGGTAATTGTAATTCATTGAAATTTTTAAAATAATTTTTAAGTTTACATTTTTTCAAGTTTTATGAACTATCCTTCTTATTATTGCTTCTGTTTTTTAACCTTAAGAAATATTTTGTGTTGCATTAAGGGGAATTTCTTAAAAACTATGCAACTCTTCTTTGAAAGTCTTGCTTTTTATGATATATCCAAAGATATTAGACACTAAGTGTGGAATATAGCCACATAAAAATATAGGCATCGATTACATTTTGGTTTATGTAAGAATCACCGATTTATCTTCATAGACACTTATTTTTCACTGCCTTAATATTTCATCATTTTATAACAAAAATGGAAAGACAAAGACCAATGCCACCTACATATCCATGACTGTTCTAAATATGAAGAACATAGAAACAGTGCAGTCTAAGCTGAGAGGCAGGTTTGAGCTCCTGCTGCACGTGCTGGTAGACGTCCTGACCAGGCAAGTGATGTACACAAGGTTGCCACTCTCGTTCCCAAATTCCCCTTGCCTGGTTAGGGCTTGACCTCTTTCCTGAAATTACAAGGGACTCTCTTCCATCCATGCAGAGTGTGCCTATGCCTGGATCAAGCTCCTTCCTCTGCCTTCTTCTGTATTATAGTCTTTTTGCCTTACTGTCTACCAAGTCTAGTAGAATCAAATGATTAAGTAAACCTGTTGCAAGGAGATGAAATGTGAACACACACTTGCTGATTCCCGGCCCTCTGTCCACTCTACCTGACCTTCTATCTGTAAGTCCGACCTCCAGGATGGACGTCCATCTTCCTCTCTGATGAGAGCCCCTTTGAGGGCCTTTTGTCTTGTGCTCACCCCTGCCCTCAGCTTCTCCAGGAAGCCTTGCTTATCTAAGCTCTTTATTTCTTAGGCTGCCTTTTAAAGGTCTTTTCATACCTGCTGTGACTTTAGGTTATCTTTAACCATGATCTCCTAGCTGTTGTCATTATTCAGTTTTCTTCATTTAAAACATTTTTCAACAATCATGAACTTGGTGTTTTTCCTTACATTGTTTTGTTTTGTTTTGTTTTTTAAGTTTGCCCTTTAGTGGGAAAGCTTGCTTTTCTATTCGTATTTTTTCTGATTTCCACAAAAGGCACACATGTTTTTGTGCAGTAACTGGAGAAAAGCACTACTAAATTTCTCACTTATAATCACATATTCTTTTTGTTCTCAGAATGAACCTGCTTCCTTGGTAGTGGTCAGATTTGTCAGGGTCACTGGTGTGTAGTCTAAATTTCCCTGCAGGCTTTCTGCATCTATGCTGGTCTGGCACATAGCCTCTACCCAGATTAGTTTTCACAATTGCACCATCATTTTACCAGCATTGTCGGGTTCTTCTCCCAGATCTGGGCAATTTTATCTTTCCTTTAAGGTGCTTCTGATAGATTATTCCTTTCAAGTGTCCATCCCTTTAGTGTGCACAATCCTGAGAATTATCTTTCTATAAATAACTTAATATACTCCATGATTACATCCACAGATGTCACCAATGTTTTTCATCAGAGGATCCAATAATCTTGTACTTTGGCCTCAATGTACTTATAAGAATTAGCACAAGGATAGTCATTGTGAAGCAAGGCACCATCTTGCCCTTGTGAGACTGACTTTTTTTATGTTTTTTAAGGTAGAAGTTCATATTTGCATATCATTAAATTAGAACTCTGCCATTATAATTCCTTTAAATAATAACTTTTCAAGGAAAGGATGTTTTAACTACTATTACTAGACAATATATACTACATTTTTAATAAAATCAACTTTGTTTATGTAAACAATAAATTATCAATGTTCATCAAGTAAGTGCATTTAATCAAGTTAGAACTCTGCCATTATAATTCCTTTAAATAATAACTTTTCAAGGAAAGGATGTTTTAACTACTATTACTAGACAATATATACTACATTTTTAA